TATTGCAACTCTGACAGACTATGCCAACGTCGTCCATGAACCGTTTGTCCCGTCGCGACACGCCTTATCCCGCTGTCTTGGTGGGTATATGAATGGTTTTCATGACCACTATCCATTTTTGCACGTCGCCACGCTGGACACGGATGCGACTCCCGTGCATCTGCTTCTCTCTATGGCTGCTTTAGGAGCCCAGTACTGCCGCGAGCCTGACACGAGCTTGGAACTATTTAAGGTTGCAAAGGCCGTCACTCTTGAGCATGTCCGGAGAGAATTCCAGTGGGGTTGCTCCACTCACCAAATGGCAAATCATGTCGATAAGGCGGTCAGAGATCAGGATATCATCGAAACCATTCAGGCATTTCTCATATTGATGTCCGTTTCATGCTGGTTTGAGCGCGATCCCCCACATCACGAGGCTCTTTACATGCGAAGCGTCATGGAAACTCTTCTTCGACAAGGGGGATTAAACGAGCTGCCGGCACAGGATGGGACTTGGGAGAGCTGGGTCCGCAACGAATGTGTCAAGAGGACGAAGCTGATCGTCTTTTGTTTTTTCAGCGTGCATACTATCGTGTTTGACATACCGCCGCTGATCTTGACTGAAGAGCTCACTCTTGACTTGCCTTGCACAGAAAAAGAATGGAATGCGACGAGTGCGAGCCAGTGGCTTATGGAGAGAAGCCAAAGCCGCGGGGAGCCTAAGCTACAAGCTGCCTTGAATGCACTTTTTCCACAATCATCTGGAGCCAAAGGTCGCCTTGAAAGCTTTTCCTCAATGGGCGGCTATGTACTGATCCACGCAATGATTCAAAACATTTGGTTGATGCAAAAAGCCAGTCGCCTCCCCGTCTCCAGTGGTGGCTTCTTATCACCAGCAGTGATCAATTCTCTAGAACAGGCGTTAGAAAACTGGTGTCAGTGCTGGGAACACAACCAGGAATCCTCCATTGATCCTTTTAACCCTCACGGTCCGCTCTCTTTTACCTCGACAGCTCTCCTCCGTCTAGCATATATCCGTCTCAATGCCGATTTCAGCTCCGCGCGACGATTACAAACCTGGAACCCGGATGAGATAGCCCGTTCTTTGAAGGATGAGTTATGTGTGCAACGGAGCGATAGACTTACTCGCGCCGCATTACACTGTGCTCATGCGCTCAGCACACCCATCAAACTGGGCATAAACTATGTGGCGCACACTCTTGTCGTGTCCTGGTCCAATCAATACGCCTTGTGCTCGCTTGAATGTGCCGTTCTACTGGCCAAGTGGCTAGAGGTGGCGACGGTCTCAAATCCAGAGCCGAGTCTCACTGAACAAGAGAGCAAGCTGCTTGAATTTGTTTTAGAGATGGTCATGGAAGTCCAGCACGGGGTTTCCCGCGATTGGCTCCTGTCGAATAACACAAGACTAAGTGCAACTGTGACAAGGCTCTGGGCGAGGTTGTTTACAGGAGATTATATATGGCAGCTGGTCAACCTAATAGGTCGCTCTCTCAATCGATACGCCGAGATACTGGAACCCACAAATGGCCCGGTGTGAACCAGCTGGATTGCCATCATATACATAGATTTTAGATTAGAAGATACCCCAATTTAGAGAAATCCCATTAGTCCAGGCGCTGTGTGAGGTAGCCATTGCGTTTTTCATCAATGTGGAATTGAGATGGGCAAGCAAGGGCAGCCCCTCAAGATGACGCCATCCTCACCCTGAAGGCATCACCGCTACACTATCTTCGCTCCCTCATGCCGCACCAACGACTTGGCAAAGACGAAGAAGCGGGGAGTGTTGCCTCTAGGTGAACCCTGCTGTGGATGCCGATGTCTGGACAAATCCCGTTGAAGTACGCTTATCTATCCCCCCTTGACAATCCGAACTAGGGATTGCGAGCTCACGGCGAGGTACATACAATGAGGGCTTTGGTGTACTCTATCAGGGCGACTTTCCTTTCTATAGCATGCTTTCTATCATTGCATCCGGCTCTATCGCCGAAGAGCGGCGATAAATGTTCTCGATCAACCAGTGGCAGTATACGCGACCAGCTTGGCAATGGCGTGCTAAAAATCTCGACAGTTCAAATTGGAGACAACCTGCCTCTCATGAGGTATCGCGGATCTTGAAACTGGACCTCGTACAATTGTCACTCTGTGCTTCCTTAGAGACTTGCCTTGGCGCAACATGGCTAAAACAAGCGACATCGACCAACAGTCCGTTGGTCCACACCCAACGAGTCACTCAGCCGTACAAGACTCGGTCGGAAGCAAAGATGGCGTCTATGTCCAGACACAGCAGTTCAACGATAGCGCTTCCGACTTACAGGGACACAATCCGTTCGCGGACCCAGAGGTCGCGGAGCGCTACGCTATGATCTACGAGAAGGCGCAGTACGAGTGTCGACACGTCTTTGATCCGACCCTCACATGGACCCCGGAGGAAGAGAAAGCGTTGGTTCGCAAGCTGGACTGGCGTGTGTGTCTGTGGGCTGTATGTCAACTTCTGTTACTGTTTGTTTGCATTACTTGCTCACTGACTGGTTATTTAGTGTGTGATGTTCTTTGGTCTTCAGGTTGACAGGGGCAATCTCGTCCAAGCGGTGTCAGATAATCTGCTGAGTGACCTTGGGTTGACGACTGATGGTAAGACAGCCAGTCACCTTGCATTATGACCTGGAGTTAACATGGTTAGACTACAACACCGGTAACACTATCTTTCTCGTTTCCTTTCTGCTTGCAGAGTTGCCGTCGCAGTTGGTGTCTAAGAAGATGGGCCCGGATCGGTGGATCCCGATGCAGATGACCCTTTGGTCTATCGTTGCAGCAGCCCAGGCTGGCTTGACTGGAAAGCGGACTTTCTACGCTACGAGAGCGCTTCTGGGAATTCTCGAGGTAAACGAATCTTTCGGGAGATTGCTTCCTTGCTCTAACCTTTTCAATAGGGTGGTTTTATTCCTGATATTGTTCTGTGGTTGTCGTACTTCTATACCAGCAGAGAACTCCCGACTCGTTTAAGGTGATCATACTTCGCTGGGCTCGTGACATATATACTCATCTTTCCCTTAGTATCTTCTGGACTGCTCTTTCATCCACTACCATTATCACCTCATTCATTGCATTCGGAGTTCTTCATATGCGGGGCATCCAAGGCATGGCCGGCTGGAGGTGAGTAGATGCTTCTTGAGCCTCGTAGGCGTGCACTCACGCATGGTATCCAGGTGGCTTTTCCTTATCGAAGGGCTGATCACACTACTCGTCGGTCTGGCTTCGTTCTTTCGCATGCCTGCCTCTGCCGTCGACACAAAGAAGTGGTTCCGGCCCCAGGGATGGTTCACGGATCGGGAAGTCAGCATCGTAGTTAACCGAGTCCTTCGAGACGACCCTTCCAAAGGTCAGCATTTGCATCTCTGCTTCCTCTTGGAACATTCTCTCTCAGACCCATGAAGCTCACACCACATCACCAGGGGACATGCACAATCGGCAGCCCATCACCCCTCGCCGCCTCTGGAACTCCCTGCGCGACTACGACCTCTGGCCCATCTACATCCTCGGCCTGATCGTCTACATTCCCCAAACACCCGTTTCGGCCTACATAACGCTCACACTTAAGAGTGTCGGCTTCAGTACGGTGAGTCACGAATCCCTCGTCAGCTCCAGCACGATCAACTAACATTGACATCAACCAGTTCACCACGAACCTCCTCACCATCCCTTCCAGCGTCGGCCACATCATCACCCTCCTCCTCCTAACCCGCCTGAGCGAATATCTCAACGAACGCACCTTCGTCGCCATGCTCCAAAGCATCTGGACCCTACCCTGCGTCATCGCCCTGCGCTTCTGGTCCGGCACCATGAACAACGCATGGGGCACCTTCGGCCTCGTAACAACGCTGCTGTGCTACCCGTACTGCCACGCAATTCTGGTCGGATGGACCTCGAAGAACTCAAACAACGTGGGCACGCGCACGATCTCCGCGGCGCTGTACAACAGTGAGCTGCCCCTTACCCCTACCACCCTTCCCAATAGCAAAGTTCTGGAGTGATTCATCTTCATACGATGAGAACCAACCCACCCTCGCAAGCCCCTGTGAACCCAAGTGCTAACGTTAACACCCCCTGCTACATCTAGTGTTCGTCCAAGTCGGCGGTATCATCGGGAACAACATCTACCGTACAGACGACAAACCCAAGTACCGTCGGGGAAACTCCGTGCTTCTGGGCATCAACGTCCTCGCGATCGTGCTGTTCTTGCTTACGAAGGTCTACTATACTTTGCGGAACAAGCATAGGGACAAGGTTTGGAATGCTATGACGGAGGAGGTGGGTTCTTTCTTGTTACTCTATTCCCACTGCCCATAGCATTCGATACGGTTACTGATAGTCCCTCTTTTCTATCGTGCAGCAACGACAGCATTATATCAATACCACGACGGAAACTGGGAGCAAGCGCTTGGATTTCAGATTTGCGCATTGATCTTCGCTGTGGCCTAGTGTCTGTCAATTGTGGATTGTGTATGTGCTCGGTCAGACTCAGATAGGTGTGCGATGATGAGCTACCTTGTCGGTATGTGACTGCAAATGCCAACGGCTTCATCGGGATGGCGAGTGTTCGACCCGAAATGTGGATATATATTAGCGAACTCACGGCTGTTGTGCGAAAGAAAGGATTAGAATCAACCATGCCAGAATATCCTATCCTCATCAAGCCAGGTTGTAGCCCACAGTTACCCGACGGACTCCTAGAGGAAAAGATCCAGGAATTGAGAGATTTGGGGGCGGTCATATGTTATGGCTGGATGACGCCGAATAGATGAAAGAGATGATGACTTTTGGGAAGATGGTCGATTATGTCACTTGAGTATAATTTGTGCTGCGTGATGACGTATCATCAAATGGGTCGGTAGCTCAGTGGTAGAGCGTAGGATTGCAGATCCCGAGGTCACGCGTTCGATCCGCGTTCGGCCCTCTCTTTTTTGCTTTTGTCTGTCCTCCTTCACAGACCATGTCCCCAAGTCACAAAGGAGCCTACATTGAATTTCTGTAGTTAGGCTACCACCATATTGTACATCCTCATCTACCACAACACCTACCTCCTAAAAGTCTATGTCAACCTACCTATTATACTTTACCCATCTTCTATGCCCAAACGACTGTCTCAACATCGTCCCAGCCCCATCCAACATACAAAGGCCAGCCCGTCCGATCCTCGGGTTCTCCCATTGATCCCCAACAGCCGAAACCTTCAGGCTTATCAGGATCTCCTCCCAGGTAGGTGACTACCAACGGGTCTGGACACACAATTCTCGACAGACTCCCATCTTCCGATACAGCCGGAAGGCTATCTGGGGCCATTCCCATTTCCACCCATGTTGTCAGTGCAGCCATCATGGCCGAAGGAGCAGGGCCCGGCCCTGAGCCACAGTGGCCGACCCCTGGAGCCTCGAAATACCGGTAAAAGTCCCTGACCGCAGGATCACGCTCTGCCACGGCCGCATAGTAGGCCTTGGACCCACCGGGAGCTATTTTCTCGTCGTTCAGCCCATGCCAGTGAATGATCTTACCGCCGCGCTTCTTGAATTCGTGAAGGTCAGGAGAGTCGGCGCTGATTATGGACCGATAGCCGGCGACCGAGAGACGGAACAAGCCTTCAAACTCTGGATATGTCAACTTCAACTGATATAGATCTAGATCTGGGTTCTGCGCGAGGAACAGCGACAGCCAGTCGATCACAACGCGATAGAGCGTAGGGCTGCAATTATGATTGTGGACCGCTTCTGATGAGGAGCACTCAGTGCCATGCCACAACGAACCTCGTGAAAAGCCATGCCATAAAGGCACACCATACTGATCGCGCATGCCCTGCCACATCTTCTGGGCCAGAATGACCACATCAAGCGTAATCTCAACGTCGACTCCATCACCGCAGTCGACATGCTTGCCGACAAGGAGAAGCGCATTGAAGTCACAAAGGTCTGGCTCGGTAATGATTCCATCGATGACTCCATCACGATCGTCGCAGGCCTTGATGACCTCCGCAGCAATAGCGTTCATCACACAGGGAGATGGATGGATGTTCAGCAGACGCATCGCAAAGTTGGACCAATAGCTCGCCGGCATCGAATGCGCCCAGCTGAGAGATGGAGAACCCGCTAAAATCCCATCAAAAGCATCGGGAAACCTCTGCGCGAGCACCATTCCCTGGCGGCCGCCCCCGGAGCATCCGTTCCAGTAGGAACGCTTCGGCACCTCTCCGTAGAATTGTTGGACAACGTCTTTCGCCAGAATAGCCATCTCGGACAGAGCGACGGAGGAGAAATCCAGCAGCCGGGCCACGTTCACATGCCCCGACTCGTCATCGAGCGCCCATTCTCGTGCCGACGGGGCGAATGCATTATGCCCCAAGTCGGAGCTAACTGCTGCATACCCCTCGGCCACGGCCATGGCCGTGGCACTGTCACCGCGGGTCCCCGCAAAATCGTCGCCACCGATGCCCTGCAGGCGCTTGTTCCAACCCGAGAGAGGTAGCCACACCTTGATGTTAATCAAATCATCCCAACCGGGGTGGGTGTAAGTCAGGCTGACATTGCAGAAGGTCACGCTGACTCGACGATGCTTGATTGGATTGACTTGAAGTCCGTCAATCTCCATGTCGAACACAGGGAAGACCATCGACGCCACCACTTCGATACCCGGGAGAGAGGGTCGATGGATCTGGAGGGGCGAACACTCAGCTGCTGTGAGTGATGTGAACAAACTGACCTCGATGGCCAAGAGGGATAGGATGAAACTAAACCAATCCATGACTACTGATACTGTATACTCGTTGATAGTGATAGCGATAGATGAATGTGATCAGCATCGCTACCTGAGACTTCTCATCCTCATTACATGCGGCGGGTTTCAACTTATTTCCGGCAGGTGCGATCAAACGAAAAAAGGCAGTCTCACTGCGCCCGCCATCTCAACTTCTACAACAACTTCTACAACATTCAAGCCCACTGTGATAAACAGGGAGGATATCAATGATAATACTCAACAACGCCGGCAAAACTTTCGTCGCCAAGGTACAGAAACGAAAAATTCGCCGCACCGATTGTGAAGCTAAACAAAGGGGTTTGACTCCGGGCCATCCGAAGTACGAAGACGAGATCGGCAACCCTCAGGCCTCTGCAGAAGCATTCACTAAGAAAGAGCGACGTTTTGGATTCGTGGAAGATAATCCTCCTGGATTCACTTGTCGCCAGAAAAACCGGCGTACAGTTTCCGGCGAGTTGCTTAGCCGCTTCTGGAGCGGAAGGAATGCCCTTAATATCGTCTGATATGAGCCAAGAAGTCGGAGATGATTCTTGGCAGTATGCAGGGGCAGCTCGCGTCGCTCACCATGACGAGGCCTACGTACTCAGTGTACTCGAGACGAGCCTCTTGAGGCAAGAAGCAGGGTCTTTCCGACCGTTCCGCCCCAGGGTTGTTGGCCCGCTGAGCAATGATGATGCGCCGTGCCGCCACGACTGATGGATGCTTCGTTTCGTATCGTGCCATGCCCAGCAAAACAAGACTCGTCACACAAGACTAAGACTTGCTAAGCAAGTTGCCAAGCCGACTGGCTCGGACATCGGATGTTTGCACTGCATTTGAACCCCAAATTTGCCGAAGCAGTGCGGCATGGGATCGGCAGTCAGGGCCCACCGTGGAACCCGAGCTATTCTGTTTGAGACTTGATGACGACGATCATCATTGATTGGGATTCTCTGAGGCGTCGAGACGCCGACTGCCGAGCCAACGGACGGGTATGGTGAAACAGCGTGGATTCGAGGAGGTCCGTGGAGCGCCCGATAGCCGTTCGAGATTGATATCGGGCGGGACCTGTTATCGAGGACCTGGACCTATGAGTAGAAGCTGCCTTCACGGTATAAAAGCTTTACTTCTTTTCTTGCTCTGATCATCTCAACAACCACGTTCTCTCTTTCGATTCTGTTGATCAGACACTCATTCCTTCCTTTATTCACTCTTTATCACGATTCTGTTGACCAGAATCCATCATGCACTCCTTCCAGCTTCTCGGCCTGGCCGCTGTCGGCTCCGTCGTCTCGGCCGCTCCTACTGCGTCTCGTGTCTCCGACCTTGTGAAGAAGTCCTCTTCTACCTGCACTTTCACCTCTGCCAGCGAGGCTAGCGAAAGCATCTCTTCGTGCTCCAACGTCGTCCTCAGCAACATCGAGGTGCCCGCCGGAGAGACACTTGACCTGTCCGACGCCGCTGACGGTGCCACCGTAAGTTTTCCTACAACAGTCACTAGCTTAGACCCAGCTAACGATACCAGATCACTTTTGAGGGTACCACCAGCTTCGGCTACGAGGAATGGGATGGTCCTCTTATCCGTTTCGGCGGCAAGCAGCTCACCATCACCCAGTCTGACGGTGCTGTCATTGACGGTGATGGCTCTCGCTGGTGGGACAGCGAGGGCACCAACGGTGGCAAGACCAAGCCCAAGTTCATGTACGTCCACGATGTCGAGGATTCGACCATCAAGGGCCTGCAGATCAAGAACACTCCGGTGCAGGCCATCAGTGTGCAGGCGACCAACGTCTACCTGACCGACATCACCATCGACAACTCCGACGGTGACGACAACGGTGGCCACAACACCGACGGATTCGACATCAGCGAGAGTACTGGCGTGTACATCAGCGGTGCTACCGTCAAGAACCAGGATGACTGTATCGCCATCAACTCCGGCGAGAACATCCTCTTCACCGGCGGTACCTGCTCCGGTGGCCACGGTCTGTCCATCGGCTCCGTGGGTGGCCGTGATGACAACACCGTCAAGAACGTGACCATCTCGGACTCAACCGTCACGGACTCGGCCAACGGTGTCCGCATCAAGACCATCTACGGCGACACCGGTGATGTTAGCGAGATCACCTACTCCAACATCCAGCTCTCCGGCATCACCGACTACGGAATTGTCATCGAGCAGGACTACGAGAACGGCAGCCCTACTGGTACCCCCTCCACTGGTGTCCCCATCACCGACGTGACCGTCGATGGTGTCACCGGCTCGATCGAGGATGACGCTGTCCAGGTCTACATCCTCTGCGGTGACGGCAGCTGCTCCGACTGGACCTGGTCCGGCGTTGACATCACCGGTGGTGAGACCAGCTCCGACTGCGAGAACGTTCCCTCCGGCGCTTCTTGCTAGAGGTAGACAGGGGCTGGTGTCCGAGCCGCTTCTTATTTTTGTTTATCAGGTTGCGGCACAATACCAAATCAAGATGCCCGGCTTTCATCTGTTAACTCCGAATGTATAATACTTTTATCTTCATAGCCAATAAAGCTACACTACTGCTTAAGTCACATTTTAAGACATGATATTGTTTCCAGAGCATTGGTAACTATCGCTCTTGTTTAAATACCCTTGAATTCGCCCTAAGTCAGCTGCGACAAACCCAGACTCGACCAGCTATAATACCTCGGGTCAAGCGGAAGAGTAAGCCTCCCAAGATATAGACAGACCCGTCCCAATTCCTGGTTAGGTAGGTATTCTGCTGGTTCCTTCGGCGATTGCAAGCACGATATCACACGTAAAAGATAAAAAAAAAAACATGAATTGATGTATAAGTCCGTAGTCAACGAGTCTTCGGGGCGAGATTCCCTCCCGTGCGGCATGCAAAGGTGGGAAAAAAGCAAAAAGAAATGACCTACGCAGGGCTCGAACCTGCAATCTCTTGATTCGTAGTCAAGCGCCTTACCATTGGGCCAGCAGGCCTTGCTGTTGTAATAGTGATGCAATAAAATTAATATAAGACATGCTGTTCAAAATAGTCCTTACCGAGAAGTGACCCGATAAGTGGATAGGTTTACTTGCCCCTGATGTCAAGTGCGTGCCGCTTCTCGGCGTAGAAGCAGATATGTAATCAACTACATTGATAGATATGATTATGCATTATACAGTTTATTCTGAACCACATGCACCTGTCAGTCAGTTCAAGCATCGGCCTCCGACATCAAGCGTTGCGATTCCGCGTTCTCCTGCGCGTGGCGCACGTGGAACTCGAAGCTCAGTTCTCCGACGAGACTTCTCACATCACTGAACATATCATGTTAGCGACTGTTTGTTTCTCAGAGGAAGGGAGAGAGAAACGAGAGAAACGAGAGAAAGTCGCACAGATAAACATACCGTAACAGATCATCCAAAGTGAAGCTGACCACCGACCGCAGCACCTCCAGACAGACAAACGCCGAAAACGCCGGATCCTCGACGTGGCGGATGCTCAGCAGCTCGCCGTCAATGCGCTGCAGCTCCCGCGCTAACGGGAAGGAGTCGCCCGTCGCGAGGTACGGCGGCAGCGGCTGCGCGTTGGTCATGGACGCCGACAGATGGCAGAGCAGCGAGGTGATCTGGTGCGACCTGAAGCCCGCGGACTGCAGCGCGATTGACGCCAGTCTCGCTACCCATTTGTTTTCTTCGGAGTTGCTGCCGGCGCCGGGCTGGCTGTCGATGGATAACGCGTCCAGGGTCTGCGTGGTGTGGGCCATCAGCGCCATGCTGGTGAGCGTGCGCTGGATCTGGCCGATGATGCGGTCGTAGGTCGGCTTGGGGAATCTGCCGCCGATCGGGGGCTCGAAGGTGCTGAAGTGGCTGTGCATCCGGAGGCTGTTGAGGAGGATCATCTCCTCCTTGAAGATCTTGTGGCGGGTATGGTCGAGGTGGTGGGCGGCGGAGCGCACGTCGTCGTCGACGCTGCCGAGCGAGCCGTTGAGCCAGAGCTCGATCGTCGTGTGCATGCAGCTGTAGAACTTGGCGAGGACAAAGAGGCCCCGTCCGAGCGCTTTGCGGAGGGTCGATTTGGCGGTGATCGGGTACGGGAAGATCACCCAGAAGAAGGAGATGGCGCAGCCGGCGGCGACTGCTGCGAGTTTGTAGGGGCCGAAGATGTAGATGGGGTAATAGGGCTGGCCGTTGGAGGTGGCGACTTCGACTCCGAGTTTGCGGACCTAGAGAACGTTGAAAGACAGTTAGACCTGAGGATTGTTTGGATGGAATGCAGAGAGGGCGGACGGACTTGTAATTCGTATCCGACGATAACGTTGAATGTCACTATGGCAATTACGGTTGCGCCGAAGTACTGCGGAACCTTGATGTAGAAGTAGTACTGCCAGGTGAGTCAGCGATGAGTGATTGAGAGTTCTTCCCCAACAGACGTACTTCAAATATGTTTCCAATGTAAAGGAACACTATGACTCCGGCAGTCTTTCCATCCACTATGTACCACACGATCAAGCTCAACACCATCGACACGACAGTCGCGGCAATTCGAGCCACAAAGCCGAACATCGTCTGCCCACTGGTTGGGTTCATACCGATCACAATGACAATCATGGCCCAGATGCATCTTTGGTGAATGAAGAAATCTTGAGTCTGTCGCAGGAAGGCTAGGATACCGACGCAAAATGCCGCTGCTGCCACCCGAAATCCGAAAATGCTCTGCTCAGACTTGATAACTTTCGATATGATGCGAAGCACTACGCTTCCCTTCTCAAAGACATTGGCAGGCGGCAGGTGCTCGGGGTCTGGAAATGTCTCTGCTTCGCGCTCTTCATAGACAGCGGAGGGATTGACATGGGAAGACTGTCGCCGGCCAGAGCCTTCCCCGGATTCCTGTTGTTCAGAATCAGGAGACAACCACTGCAAGATAGTCTTCTGTTTGGGAAAAATGAGTCGGCTGCGCTTCATCGTGCCATCATCAATCTTATTATCCGCGAATTTGACCAGGTCGAGTGTCGCCTTCAAAATGTTGTCTTGCAAATGGCCCATGTACAGAATCATGAAAAATTCCTGTTTCACGTCGGGATCAGCTGCGACGGCTCTCTGATCGTTGTTTGAAGAGGCATCGTCGGCCTTTTCGGACAATGAGAATGCCTCGAGAGATGCCAGGGTTCTCGTGAGGTCTTTGCGTCGGGAATAGTACTGGCTTATTTCTTGCTGGAATCGTGCCGTGAAGCCCTGCTGCAACGGACTAAGCATGCCGCCTGTTGCCTCTTCATCTTTCTCTTGGTACGATTTCTCGATGTGCTTCCTCTTCTTTAGTTCCAAGCTCAACAGAACATATTGCAAGCCAATGTTAACTAGGCGAGCAGACTCTACCAATCTTTTATGAAGTGTCTCGGCAACTTTCTGTAACTCAGCCTGCTTCGTTGGTGCCTCGTCATTCTCACACGACCCAAAGCTGTTGTTGCGGGTCCCTTCATTTTTCACAATCATATCGAGGATTTCAGGAAGCATTGCCATCCCTGACAGGGGCAGCAGAAGGCTTTGTAGCAGACCACCAATACCACTCAAATCATCAGCCGATAGCTTTCCCCAGGCGATCTCATCCTTCGAGTAGAACATATCCGACTGCAACTTCCCATGCAAGGCATTCAACTTTGTTATTGCCGCGCCGAGAGCTCCCTTCTTTGCTTCCAAACTCGAGTCCCCGTTGTTCCCTGCTTCGCCCAAACTCCGAGCAGTCCGGGTTCGACTAAGAAGACTCTGGTCGCCAGTCCACACATCTGGGCTCTCCCCTACGAAGTCGATCTGAGCTCGGAGCACGGCGTCAATCTGCGCGACGTAGCCCTTGATGTCCTCGAACACGTGCCCTCGGCTCGTGATCGGTAATATGAAGAGAGAGACACCGATGGCAATCGCAAAGCCCAGCATAAACCCTTTCAACAATCGGCTGACAAAGCTCAAACCATCAGATAGTGTCACAAATGTCCCAGCTCGGGTGATGGTCACTGAGCAGAAAATCGAGAACGCCACCATAGGATCCTGCAGCTCCATCGGTTTCCAGGCACGGATCGTATTTGCACCCCTACAAAGAACTGTCAGCTTTGCCTGCAGCAGCACAGTCGAGGCGGCGCAATTACCAGATCATAAATATTAGCCATATGGCAGATACGGCACAGGCATCGCTGCTGAAGCCAGTGCGGACACTCTCGCTTGCATCTTTCGGAGTGTTGTGTTCTCTTGCCTTCACAGCACAGAATATCGCCAGACAACAGAGTGATGCGGATACGCATGTGGACAGGAGATCAAAGAACATGATCTTCATGAATTTCGCGCGGGGCATGAGAGCCTGCGACAGGACGGAGATCAACGCGGATAGGTAGCCAATAGTCAGTGTGATGTCCGCAATAGAACTGCTCTGATAACTACAATGGATGTAAGTCGACTGCTTTGATATGTGTCGATACTAGGTTCGCTCACATTGCGATGACAATGGTCGGTGGCAAAGCACCTTTCAACATCATGAGAAAGGTTCGAGTATCCAGGCCCAGGCGTCGCCTCCAAGTCCTCGGGTTGAGTGCGCTGTGAGGCATTTCTCAGCTCCTGCTTACTGTAGATTAAGGCATCGAGTGCGGAATCTCATACCTGAGCACCTTGGACAGTCTGGATCCACCAGAGCTCCGAGGAGGAGCCATGGTGTGTCAACTGTGTCTCGTGCAATGTATTGCTGAATCAGGTGGACTGATTGATCGAAAAGTTCAGTATGATATATGAGGAGACTCGAAAGATGCTCGAGAGAGGACAGGATGGAAAATTCATCCTCTCGTGATCTGAACTAGCGTTGTTGATCGAATCGCCGACGTCCGGGGCCGCATCCGGATCGGGTTGCCGTGCCTGAAATCCATGGCGCCTGCCGAGCTAAATGCCGACTCGAAAGTTTCTTTTCCTTTGACTAAGTTTTCGAAGGTGGACGATCATTGAGATACTGTCTTTGGATCGAGTGATATACGTAGTACAGCCTGGTAGTAGTTTCAGTCACACCGGGCTGTTCGATTATCGACTTGAGCTGATCACTGCTGATGCAGATTGAGCGTTGACGAAGGGTGGGTGGTGTATTTGGTGGAAGACAGTAGTTAGTATGATTATCAATTGGAGTTGACTTTGATCCGATCCTTTCACATCTTCCCAGGCTATCAATACTGCCCTACGGAGAAAAATTTGAGGTTTTTGCAGGCCTTCGGAAATAGACCCAGCAATTCCATGGCTATCAGAGTCGGCAGGGAGAAGGACAAGCATTATTGATTGTATCCAGGCGGGATAAGTCTTTACCCGCTGCTCTGAGCTTTGATCACCTGACCAGATGCATACTTTATGCATCCCGCAGTCAAGATGAGTCAGGAATGAGTGTCTGCCTGCGACACAACTCAGGTGATGGCTCTTCTCTCATACGCATTTCCCCCTTCCGGCAAATGACAGCATCCAAACCTGTTGAGCAACCATGATAAGTCCCTCATAGTGCATCGACACAGAGGAGCGCCCTCCTGGCCAGTCAATCTGAGGTATTTTCAAGTTGTGGTTGCAGAACTGGGTGTGACTGACCAGTGCTGGTGTTGATAATGAGCAGCCATCCCCTCCATCATCGCATTTCGGACTGCCTTACGCGGCGCCACGGAGGCTTTGGACATCACCCCCGCATTGGCATGTTTACGAATACTACCCCGCTCACTGGCCAAGACCTGTCAAACGAGGCTGCATCAAATGTGGTAGACTGGAATAGGTCGAAAGTACTGTACAGGACTGTACATGAGTACTACAAATGACCTCATTTATGGACAGCTGGCGCCAGTGTCGTGTGGTCCAGTCTCCCAAGCACGAGGAGGCGACAAATCGCGCGACTAGTTGACTTTGCAACATGGAATGCTCTAGCACCTGGCTGTCTCTGCCACGCCTTGGCACGTTCCTGTTATCCATCGGGGCCATCATGTCATCTCAGCACTTACCATGGTCCCCGGGAAGTTATTCTCCTCAGCCACAACGTAGCGTTGGTGCTGGTGGAGGAGATAGTGGGCCCCAGATATGTGGCTGAGTCTGTGACGCAGGGGTCGGAGACTCGGAGCCCTACCAGGCGGGAATAGCGTTGACGATGAGACGTTACTGAGTCATAGAGAACTCAACCGAGGCGTAGCTGGATCGAAAGAAGTCCAAGCTAAAGAAAGGAATGTCAAATTGACTACCAAACTGTAAACGTAACCTAATGGCGATGGATGACGCGCTCTCTGTTTGCACACATCTTGCCTTCTTCTGACCTCGGCCATGTGACGCGTTACCCAAAGCTGTTGCCAGCCGTGGCAACGACCCAAGCATGCAGTGCCCGTCCCGGATGACGATGATGTATGATTGGGTATGATACGGGTGACAATACAGGTACGTCGGACTTCGGAGGAATCCCTCCGACTGGGACGAGGCTAACATCTTGCAGACAGTCGACCAATGGAAAGCTCCGGATTCCCAGATCGCTGTCCACAAATATATTCAATGGGTCGTCCAAAGGCAAGGCGGTCTTTATCGATCTAATAGGTATCGTAATTACCTGTACGTAGGGTAGGTAAAATATGGGCATTTTCCTCGGTGATAGTCATGGATGTGTCTCACTCTTATTGCTGCGTCGAGAAATTGGTTATAATAAAATAGTGCTCTATACTCCATAGACGGCAATGTGCCGGGAAGATAGATCGATAGCCCTAGGTGATTTATTCTTCCAGGAGTGAGTGAGGCGTGGCCTCGGGGGCAGGTTTTCCGTAGTCGCAATTCGATCACAAAATTGGGAGGTCTCCATGTTCTGGGTCCCAGCATTCTGACATGGTCCTGGGGAGTTCGTCCATCCCCTTGCAGGTTGCAGACCGATTGAGCAAGGTGAAGTATGAACTAATTGGCATCTTCGACTACCCAAGAAAAGAGGAAGTTATTTCGTCGATTGCACTAGAAACATTTAGCCTGGTTTACCACCAAGCCCTAGAATGGATACCAGGTCGACGGGCTGCAGAAGGGAACCGTACGAATTCGATCGACGGGAACCCAGATTAACAGCCCTCATGCCCCACCAGTGGAGTGGATAGATACAGTAAGGTCATCAATCATCACCCGTCGTCAATTGTTGCTGTGTTTTGCGACTCAACCGATTGCCGAGCCTCTAAAGATAAAAATAAATGAAAAATACCGACAGAAGAGCGGGATCCGAGTCCTCATGTCGGAGATAAGCCGATGACCTCAGCACGGTGTAGCTGCCCTTGGCAGGCCTTGGAAGGGTGAGCTGATAGGATGCAGTGCAGGAGGGGGAAGGGGGGGAAGGTGAAAGAGAAAGAAAAAGTAAAAGAAAAAGAAGAAAAAAAATGAAGAAAAACAAATGAGGGTGGATGATTGATAACACGATACGATACTCCGTAGATAACAACCTACAGTAACTAACAAGAGGGAGGGAGTTGGACGCAAAACGGGGCAAGCAAGACGGGGCCATGGACCATGGGCTTCCTCCCCTTTCATGGTTAGGTGCAGGATGATCATGCTGGGGCTTGGCCGGCATCATTGGCTTGCCGCTCACGCCAAGGGCCCCGGCCGGCCGCTCGTCCTTATATTGTCCTCATTTTCGCTGTCTGTCTTGCCCTCTCCAACTTCCCATAAATCCACTTGAAGCTTGGCTTGCTTCTTCCTGTGTGTTCAGACACAGTTTTCTTTCTCTTCTTCTGTTTCTTCCTATCCCATCTCATTTCTGTGATACGCCTCAGGCTCCTCTGCCTTTCCCCCTTGATTATTCCTGCTTCTGGTTCTGAAATACATGCGTAAGTGCTTCGGTCACCTACCGATACCCCTTCCCTCAACTCGCTTCCAAACACTGCACGCGCGCCAAACTTTGGTGGCTTTCTTGGTGCATGAATCTTGCTGTTCTTTCTGAGAAACCAACTGATAAACTTCTCGATTTCACAGACCGGATTCACTCGTGGGCGAAAGCTCACGCGTCAACTCGCCAAACTCAAGCTTCCTCTCAGGCAGACCAAGCCTCCGATGAGGCAGCGGCTCAAGATGGGCAAGTGAAGGAAGCTATACGTGACCCGGCCAGCCCGGAGTCAGAAAAGAATTCAAATGAGACTACTAAGCCCGGACTCTTCACGCGCATGAAGGATGGCATGGTCCGCTTCAGCAGCCACACCAAGACGGCTCTTTGCCACAGTTGGGTCAATGTGCTGCTCATCTTCGTGCCCGCTGGTATCGCCGTCCAGGCGGCCGGGTTGAACTCGGGGTTGATCTTCGCCATGAACGCGATCGCTGTCATTCCCTTGGCTGGTCTCCTCAGTCACGCGACTGAGTGTGTTGCCAGCCGCCTAGGTGACACCGTCGGTGCACTGATCAATGTCACTTTTGGAAATGCAGTCGAGTTAATCATTTTCATCATTGCACTTGTCAAGAATGAGATTCGAATTGTGCAAGCATCCCTCTTGGGATCCATTCTGGCAAATCTACTGTTGATTCTGGGCATGGCCTTTCTTTTGGGAGGCTTGCGTTTTCAGGAACAGGTAAGCAATCCTCGTCTGTGTTTCTGAGTTGTGTACTAACTTCTCTAGATCTACAACAGTACGGTCACTCAAATGAGCGCTTGTCTTCTTAGCTTGAGCGTCATGAGTTTGTTATTACCTGTGAGTGATGACTTGATTCGTTTGAGGGTCCAGAACTAACATAGTCATCAGACGGCCTTCCATGCTTCGTGGTCAGACAGCTCGAACGCCGACAAATACACTCTCAAAGTTAGCCGAGGAACTAGTGTGGTAAGCTCCCTCAGAAGTACGATGAGAAGCGCATCAAATACTAAGTGTCACAAATAACAGGTTTTGCTTCTTGTATACGCCTTGTACATCGTTTTCCAACTCAAGTCGCATGCCTATCTCTACGCCAGCACTCCTCAGCAGATTATTGACGAAGAATCCCACCCGGGTGTGTTGGCCGAGTTTATGAACAGCTCGTCGGATTCAAGCAGTTCTTCCGACGAATCGGTCGACACCACAACCTCCTGGTCCACCGCCAAACGCATCAAGAGGGCCATGAAACACAGACGCCACCGAAAATCAAGCACGAGCTCACGTGGAACAGTATCTCCACAATCGTTCCGTAAGAAGTCCCTGGTGGATATGCCATCGTCGGCTGTCATTGATGAGGCCCACGGTTCTGGTGACTTGAACAGTACCACTAGTCATGCAGAGGGTTCAGAGTCGTTTGTCATTGATTTTGGCGACGATACTCGCTACGATGCGGACCACGAGCCACACTCGAGGGACTACGAACCGCAGTCGCGTGACTTCGGAGCTGCCCCTAGGACCTCGAAGCAAGAGAGAAAGGCCAAGAAGCAGGAGAAGAAGAAGCGTGAGAAGCGTACGGAAAGCGCTCAAGGCGCTACCAATACAGCTATGGGCGGACGGCCACCCTTGAAGTCTTATCAATCGGAACCTGCTGTTGATCATGGCGATCTACCAATTCCTGTCGAGGAGGTCCCTGAAGTGCCTAAGAGGCGATCGCCATTTCGGCCTACCATTCCCTCACTGCTCTCCAATACAGTGTTCTCTACCGCGCCGGGTATTGCACAACCAACGAATCTTTCCGCTGCATCTGGTCTCCGCCGTACACACTCGCTGCCTTCTTTCTCCAATCGTCCTCCACCCGTGGGAAGCGCTGTACAATTTGCCCGTGGAGCATCTCGCATGCCCACCGTGGTCAGCGCGGCCACTGTTGAAGACACTCCTGAACACCCCGAGCCAGAAATGTCTCGCACCTCCGCGGTGGTCATGCTCCTCGTCTCAACCGCTCTTGTTGCGGTCTGTGCAGAATTCTTGGTTGATGCCATTCCCAACATGATTCAAAGCTCGTCTGTCAGCGAGGCTTTTATCGGTCTGATCATCCTGCCTATTGTTGGTAACGCCGCCGAACACGTGACGGCCGTGAGTGTGGCTACTAAGAACAAGATGGATCTTGCTATTGGTGTGTCTGTTGGTAGCAGTATCCAGATTGGTATGTTTTGTTAGACCCTTGGACTTTCTAGAACCCGAGCTGACCCTCAGCAGCTATCTTCGTCACTCCCTTGGTAGTTATCCTCGGGTGGTGCATGGACAAAGACATGTCTTTGTACTTTACTCTATTCGAAACTATATCGCTCTTCGTAACGGCCTTCGTCGTGAACTTCCTTGTCCTGGACGGCAGAAGTAACTACCTGGAGGGATCTCTGCTCATCGCAGCCTATGTTATTATTGGGTATGTTCTATTGTTTTTTTCAGCCATGTTTTGTTGAACTTTTTTCTAACGAGACTTGTAGTGTCGCTGCCTTCTTCTACCCCGGAAGTGCTGAATCCAGCAACTTCGCCGGCAGCTCATGATTGGTTTTAATATTAATACGACGGCGAAAGCCGGTCAGTCAGTATGATGGGCCTGACACGTCTGGACACTGTGTCAGATGCAGAATGTGGTCCTCATTTTCCGGCAAATGCAATTTATGACGAGTTTCAAATTGGATTGAGGTGAACTTTGAGTTTGAAGCAGAGGAACGAATTGACCAGAATTTGAGGCGTTTTGTGGTATATTGGGTCGAGACTGTAAATATTGTTGCCTGGGTGTCCTACTTGGCACAGTTACTCCGCTATATGACTGGTATTCTGGATCAATCGAGTTTCTCATACTCTCTCGACCGAGTCAGGCACATCTGATTATTTTGTGTTACAGGTGCATTGGTTATTTGGAGGTGCACTATTTTCCGTGCAGCAGAAGAGCAGAAGGACCCTAGGTAGAAAGATCAATGCTCCGAACAGTTCCGTAGCCCCTCGGCGAACGAAGAAAAGATTGAAAGAGGAAGGAAGGGTGTGGCTGAGCGGTGCCTTTGGTCGCGGAGACACAGCCACTCATTGAGGCACACGTGGCGAATCGCTCAGGGGCTCAGAGTAGAGTCTTGGCACGGTGTCCGGATTGCTCGCTCGGAGACTACTGTTACAGATAGGATGATATTTCCTTACCTCTCTTTGAATTTATCCGGTATTACAGGAGCAGAAGTCCTCCCCTGTGCAATGTTACCATGAGCTACTGATAACCTATGTAGATCTCGATTCTGCATGGGTACTCGGTGAAAATTGTGTGACTGCAACACTTCTATTCCCGTTGACAGGATCCCGAACTACTCGTAGCATGGATGTCTTGGAGGGCGGCAACCATGGCCCACAGCTTAATTTAGTAATTTCTGGAAGGCCGAGGACCCCCGCCAAGCCGAGGAAGGGTTCTGTCTGCCAGTGCAGTGTTCATGTTGCCGTGCTGTCACCGGACACCGCGGGCGGATTCAGTTCAAGTTGTTGCGTGTGAACTCGCCAGTGATTCAATAGTGGGGGTCATTTGTGGCTGATGCAGTAGCGTTCCACTTCTGATTGGATAGCATCTTCCACCAGCCCCCAATGTGGCGCCAAGAACCTAAAAAGGAGACGGATTGCTGCGGCATCGCTTGGACAAGTCATTCATTTCTCCAGTCGCTCCCTGTTCATTAGTCCGGATATTGACAGCTCTGCCCCGACTGGTAGCTCATAAGACTGCTATCCAATACATTGTCGTCATGTCTATTGCTCAGTTGACTTTCCAAGAAACTCAGGAAGACATCATCCATCATCCATGATCGACTTTTGTACCTATCTGACTATGTGCCTGACAAGGTTAAGGCTGCTTTTGCCCCTCCATCTCTTCTCCCTACAGGGATAAACGAAAACTTGCCCCGCAATTTCTCCTCATCGCCCTTCCCCCCGAAGAAAGAAACTGTCGAGCTGGCCTTATGGCATCAAGGGCAGAATTCCATTGCATTCCAGCATTATGAAGCCAACTGCTTGCCTGTCGGGTCCCACACCCCATCAGGGGCGCTTGTGTTACGTATCTGCCTAAATCTTCTGCATTGTCAAAACTTCAGATCTACAATCAACAATGAAACCAGACTATGGATTGGCATTTTCTCCATCCCAACAAATAACGCGGTGGATACACTCTACTTTTAGCGCTTGCCTAGGTCGTTCGTTGGCTGCCATGAGTCCCTGAGGGCCGTTAATATCCCTGATAGCAATGGTGGAGTGGATGCTGCATCTGTGACCTGACTCCATCTACCCACCCTTCCCCTCTCCAGCTGACAGGGACCATCACAACAGACTATTTAAGGATCTTGTGGTGCTTCTCTGTCCTCTTGACTTCTGTTTCATTCTCTCTTCCCTTCTAAATCTTCTCTCTCCCATCCACTCCTCTATCTGTTGCTCTAATCGTCACCACGAGTGCAGAATCAACCACAATGTCTTACTACGGAGGACAGCCTTACTACCAGGAGCGCCCTCCTTATGAGCGCCCCCCCTACGACGCCCCGCCCGCCGACAGACCTCCCTACGAGCGCCCCCCATATGACAGACCTCCTTATGACCGCCCGCCTTCCGACAGACCTCCCTACCAGGGCTCCCCTTACGAGAGACCTCCCTACCAGGGTGGTCCCCCTCCAGAGCGTCCTCCCTACGAAGGCGCCGACCGCTCTTACGACTCTCGCCCTCCATACGCCAGCCCTCCCTCGTCCTTCCGGCCTCCCCCGGTTCCCCCCCCTCCTCTTCCCATGGGCTGGACCCAGGAATGGGAGCCCAGCGCCCGCCGTGCTTTCTTTGTCGAGGTCGCTACCGGCCGCTCCCAGTGGGAGCCTCCTCTAGGGGACTCCGACGGCTCCCGTGACCTGGCGCCTGCCGGACCTCCGGGCGGATACTATGGTGCTTCTTCACCTGCTCCTCCTCCGCCGGAGGGCGGATACTACCCCCCTCCCCAGCAGGGTGGATACTACCCACCCCAGCAGGGCGGTGAATACGTCGACCCCGAGGAGCAGAAGAAGAACGAGCGCAAGAAGATGATGCTTGGTGCTGCCGGTGGCCTGGCCCTCGGTGTTGCCGCTGGTGCTCTCATCAACCACGAACTGGGTAAGTTATACCTCCTTTCAGGTCGACGACCATTGCTGTTACGCATTGTGGTTCTACCTTACTAACTGCTGTTGAACAGAGGAGCACTCGAGCTCGAGCGACGAGGAGCGTGAAGGCTCCCCCCAGCGTGAGATCTACCACGAGCGTGAAGTATACATCGAGCGTGACGTTGAGCGTGATGAGGAGCCTGCCTACGAGCCCGATGACTGGTAGTGGTAGGCTGAGCCTTCCTTCTCTTCTTCCCCTAGATTCTCGCGGTTTTGATTTTACATTGAGCGATACTTTTTTCGGGAAGTTTATCTGTATTTAATGCAACCAACCTTCTTTTTTTTCGTTTCATAAAAGACTTCATAGTACTTAGGTTGGCACGGTTTGCATGGTGCAAAGGGACTACATTGAGCCAGATACTCTAACCCGTTCCTGCAATAGAATGTTCAATAAACGAAATAAAGACCAATCCAAAAACAAAGAAGAAGCCAACGAACCTACTAACAAAACCCCAAATCAACCTTAACAAGAGGAACTGAACTATCAATACATCTACAGTAGCGCATTCGACCCAACCCAACCGAACCTCCGATCCATGTGTTCTCTCACCAGACAAACGGAATCAAACGAGCCGTCCGACGATGCCACCGCTCCCACTCGGCCCCAAAGTCCCTCTTCAACATCCTCTCCTCATCCTGGACCCTGAAATAGGTGATCCCCAGAAAGACGCCAGTCGCCAGCAGCAGCAGCCCAACCCGGTCCCAAGGCTCAACGACGGCGACACCGCCGAGTCCGGTCGTCTCCCCGGATCCCGACCAGCATGTCCCCATCGCCGGGACGAACTCCTCCAATGCCAGTCGCACATAGCCCGCGACCATGAGCAGCCCGCCCGTGTAGCTGGGATGCTGGACGTACCGGTACACCCCGTCGGTCACCAGGCCGTCGTCGGGCGTGGCGAGGTGGAACGTGAAGTCCCCGCCCAGGGCGCGGAAGGCGGCCAGCCGCGTCCATCCGCCGATGTAGAACAGAAGTAGGCTTGTGGCTGTGGACGGCGTCCAGGTGAGGGCCTCGGTCGGTGGGTTGGCGGGGGATCGGCAGATGGCGGTCGTCCACGGCGAGGATGGGTGGTCGTGTAGGAGGGTTAGCAGCGCTTGGTAGAGAAAGCTCAGTGGCATGACGAGCTTCATGAGGAGGAAGAGGGGGTCGATGACGGTCGCGACGCGGTCTTTGGATTTGGAGTTGTTGCTCTTGCTGTTGCTGCTGTCGGGTTCGGGCTCGGGTGAAGGTGTTTGGAGGCATCGGAGGGCTAGGTAGCTGGATACCGTGTAGGCGAGGGTGAGGGCGAGAGTGGGAAGCGTTGACATGTTGATGGTGGAGATGAAACATGAAGATAGCGAAAGAAGGTCTCGTGCAGTCCGACTGGTCTGGTGCTTGATTTTTTGGGCCCCTGCGTGAGCATCCTTTTATATACTCCAATTCCTCATTGATGTCTTAGTCCATCTAGATGTACAGTACAGTATACTGTACATGACTCGATCGGAGTGGCTCGACTATGTCATTGCCTTGGTCCATGAGTATACTTGATTCAAGTAAGTGGCTTGATTATGACTAGGTTGAAGTTGATTCTGCCAGCAGAGGACTTTATGCATGTAGAATGACGTAGAATTCCCATGCTGCAGATTTCATCATTTCCCGCTCTCTGGTATGTATGTACTGTACAGTTTGTACGCTGTCGGGCGGTGGAGTGTGGTCGACATAACTCGGTCTCAGATCACATACTATGTATGATCTTCAACTTCCAGCCACCAGATGAACTCTTGATCTTATCTCTGCTCTACTGATGGGGGACGCTGATTATGCAAAATAACAACAAAAACAACCTGGTTCCTAATTCGAGCCATCCTCGACAATCTCGATCGATGTCCTCCTATTTCTCCATCTCGCTCACCACAAACGGAGCTATGCTCGCCAGCTTTTCTTGAGTCTCAGTGAGTTCACGCGCAGGGGTCGATTGCGCAATTACCCCAGCCCCAGCCTGCACCCACTGACAACTCTGGTCTTGGAAGACAGTGCGGAGAACAAGGGCTGCCTCAAGGGTCTTGCTGCCTTCGATCATCAGAACGGCCCCCGAGTACAACTCCCTAGGACGGTATTCGAGGCGCTGAATGCCCTCCAGTGCGGCCTGCTTCGGTATGCCAGATGCTGTGATAGAAGGAAAGAGGACGTCGAGGGCGTCCCAGGGGTCGTTCTCCGGCTTCAGGAAGCCAGTCACGGTAGACCCGAGATGCTGGACACTGCCCCGAGGTCGGACTGACATCAGGTCCTCAACACTGACTGTGTCCTCTGGACAGAGCCGCTTCAGCTCGTCGATCGCTTCCCGAACTGAGATTACATGTTCAACGATCTCCTTGGGGTCGTTCAGCAGTTCCTGTCTGAGGCGCTCGACCTCGGTGTCTTTACCCTTGCGCGATCGCGTTCCAGCCAGCGGCTCAGTGGTCACCTTCCCCTCTTTCACTGACATCACGAGCTCGGGACTGAAGCCGGTCGCTTGGTAGCCCCCGTGGCTCAGGGAAAAGCTCCGTGCGGGTGCATTGCAGCGTCGACCACACAGCAGGGTGGCCGGCATGTCCACTCGCCCGGCGATCTCCACCGCTCGTGAAGGGATAACCTTCGTATACTTCCCTTCCGCGATCTCCGCCAGCGCGTTCTCGACTCGAGCTAGGTATTCTCCCGCAGCGTCTTGCGTGTCGATACTTTGATTCGGTGTCGGATCCACACTGATGGCATCATCGATAAGGTCGGCCAATGCCTTCACTTCCTCATTGTTATCCCCCGTCAGAACAACATTGTCTCGTGAGAACGATATCTCGATGCGCGGGGCCATCAAGCTCATAAGCGGCCATCGACCGGCCGTGTATGGAATGCCCCGCGCATGTGCCGCGTAGTTGAACCCAACATACCCGAATACCCTGCGGGCGTCGTTGGCGTGCTTCGACACAAAGTCTCTTGCGACATCCGCCAGCGGACCGGTGATCGGGTGCGATTCTTTGTGAGAATCGGTGGAGATTGTCGCCGTCTCCCCCTTGGGGTCAACTACGAGTGAAGAGTGACTGCCGATGCCCAGGTACCATTTTCCCTCTCGCTCATACGCATAATAGTCGTCACTCTTGTGGGCTCGCAATATTTCAACCACTCTTTCGAGAGCGTCGGGCCTCCCCGGGATTAGAGCTATGGTAGTGCGACTGAAGCTCATGTTTTCTGGTATGGGCGAAGGCACTGTTCAGGAGCAAAAGAGACAAGTGGTTTTGGGAATCGGTGCCAAAGTCCTCAACTTAGGTCAGTATTGTGTGGGAGATGTTTCCACCATCATAGACTCCTTGTTACAACTGGAAGAGATTTATAGCTTTCATGAGCAATCCGTCCCCACAATCACTCTATTCAATAGACCCTGTTCGATGAATGAGCTCTGTGGTTCATTGGGCTCAGCTGAGGAATGCAGAGATCGGCATACTCACATAGCAGAGTGGCTAATTCGGTCTGATATCACATTGCACTGGCCGTGGTCGTGGCGATGATTGGTCAACATAGCTGATATGAGAAAAAGCAAAGTACGGCCGATCACTAGTATCATTCGCCGCCTCTCATATATTGTTTTTATTGCATCATCCCAAGCTAACCATACTTGTTCTGCAGCAGCATCGGACTCGCCGATCAGATATCATGTTCTCCTGCAGATTCAGGTTAGCATGCAAGATGATGTGTAACCTCGACTGTGACCAAGCCAATCTCTGTGTAACACAGAGCCATTGCCATGGGACTTTTGAACATTGCAAGGTCTGGATTGTCGAGTCGCGCCAATCTCTTACGTATTTGGGAGTGATGCAAGAGCAACGTACCAGGAGATTGAGCAGAATAACCCCGAGCTGCGACTAACAAGTCCAACTCTGAGACATCTGTGTGTGAGCTCATCTCGAGGACTTTTACGTACTTTCTTGTCCTCGTGAGAGGTTGGCCGAGCACAAGATTACACACCCGAGTGCCTAGGTAACAGCAGCGAGTGTGTGTGGCCATCGCCGTAGTTGAATGTACTAGCAACAATTAACGGACGATGTCTCAGTTGCCTATTCCATTGCCTTTCGGACTAAGGTGGTTTCGCCCATGACCAGTTATACAAGCATGATCAGACCTGGGCAGCGGCGGGAGAACCAAAAAGTGGCTTATGCTCGAACTATTACTGCGAAAACGGCTAAACTGTCAAGAGTGACTTTATACGAACACGCCAGGATCCGAAGTCGGAATGTGCGAGCAGCGGCACTCGCTGTCAGCGGAGAGAAGAGTGACTCCATCGCAAGCCGAAGACGTCATCAAATACGGGGATCTCATCTGCAAGATCTACTATTGCTTCTTCGGCTTTTTCGCGTCTTTTCTATTCGCTCTATATACTTACACACGATCGATCTCATTCCTGCTCCCCGAGTACCAATAATGGTTCCCTCCCAAGTCAAAACATTCTTGAAGCCGCTAAGAAAGATGCTCGATGTGGCATTCGACTTCATGCATTGTCAGTATCACAAATAGTAAGACCTTACAGACCGGCTAATGCATGACCTCATTTAATTCCGTATCGGTTGATTGGCAGCCAAACAGTTCACAGACGATTTTCCGAAGCGGACAATCCTCAAACCTAAATTAACGAGAAGGAACTATAAAAGTCCTGACGAACCTGGCCTAGAACCTGGAACATCAAGTACAAAGCTTGATACTTACGATCTTGTACTCGTCTGGACAACTTATCAGATCAACTCAAGTGACAATGGGAAGTGCGATGATACCAGCGGACGATTATATCCTCGGAAGAAGCATCACGGACTCCGTTAGGTACCTTCTTTGATGTCTCCCTACTTGTGATACCCCTGCGATGAAGGTCACACAGACATGATAGGTGCTGATTTTACTACAGATTGGATGCTCAGCATCTTCTGTGGAAATTTCACAAGGGGTACGAGCTACATCCTGAAATCCCAGTCAGCAATGACATGAAGATTGCCGACCTTGGTTGCGGCACAGGGTTTGTGATATGACGAATTGGTCGATCTGAATCCTCCGCTTACGATATGCATAGAATCTGGCTCCTTGACCTGTCGAGACAGCTGCCGTCAACCGTGCAACTACATGGCTTTGACAGTAGCGGCCAACAATACCCACCCTCTGGACTGTGGGCGAAGAACATGACGCTCAGCGTGGTGGATCTGATGTCTGATCTACCTCCCTCCCTGACGGGACAATATGATGTGGTGCATCTGCGGATGTGGGCGAGCAATGTGCGCGAAAGCGAGACAGCTACTTTGATCCGTCAAGTCAAACGACTCCTAAGTAAGCTCAAACGGCCCACTACTGACTCCACATCATCGTCGTTGCATGCTAATACAAGCCACGCACAGAACCAGGGGGTTACATCCAGTGGGAAGATGCGGACCTGCACAACCAGGTCACGGAGGGCCGCGTGGCGGAGGAGACCGCTG